CACTCACTCACGCACTCACTCACTCACTCACGCACTCACTCACTCACTCACGCACTCACTCACTCACTCACGCACTCGCTCACTCACTCACGCACTCGCTCGCTCACTCACGCACTCGCTCGCTCACTCACTCACTCGCTCGCTCACTCACACAACACGATGATCCCAGCAGCCTTCAAGTTCCGGACCGCTCGCTCCGAAGTCTAACACTAGTAGGTCACCACGAACCTGACAACAATTAAATGGATAACGAACAAAAAGAAGTTATTTTACTCACTGCATCACTCAGCATGTCACTTTCTGTAATATCTCGGCATAAGAGTGGCGCAGGAAGAACAACATCGCTCCTTGATCATAAACAGAAAATGAAAAATATGCCTGCGATTAAAAACAGTTTTTAGTAGGAGCTCGTTTTGACGTTCCCCTAAAAATTCGTTCGCTTTCAACAATTTGCATTGTCACTTTCTCTGAGGTTTCAACAACTGATCAAAAGGCAGATCGCGTGAGGTGATTTTAAAGCTCAATAAGTGTAAAACGTCACTTTCTCCTACGCAGCTCGGTGAAAGACGAAACCAGTAATAAATGTTTACTTCATTCAGTTTTTTCAGTTAATCGCCATTTTAGAGATACCGGCTGAGCTTTGTCAAAGCAAATTTCTCATGGGTGAGATGATTGGGGAAGATCGTATCCATGGAAACATGCAAGGTACAAGATACTGACTTGAGTTTCATAGTTTCGAGCGAAGTTCACAAACAGATGATTGTTTGGTAATGTGTTTTTGCCTTGACGGGCTTGTCCTGGAAGCAACACATTTTATTTGACACTGGATCAAAAGTTTTCACTGGATTAGCCATCGTGGTATGGGAGCAACTATATTGTGCTCTACATATATGGAAAGCGTGCGTGCAATTTTTGGGGCTATATTTATTTGTATTTTAGTTTAGTTTTCTATATATTGGGGGCGTTTTTAGCAAAACATTTATTCCATTCGCGCTTGTTGGATATGAGATTGGTCATACCCAACGCGCGCTCGTGGAATCTCTTGTCTGGGGACTGGGACCAAGCACCAGGAATATCGAAGATCAACTACAAATACTGATGTATTGAAGAACTGATATAGCGGCACTGACTTAGCGGTTATTACTCTGTTTACACTTAAACGTTTCAAAGCCCCTTGAAGAGATACAACTGAGTCACCCCGTCAATTTGTCGTTGGAACAGGATTCCATCTTACATGTAACACATGACTATGCAACACTTGTAACTCGATATGGCAGTTAAAAGTTTGAACTTAAAAGAATATTGCCGTGAACTTACCTCATAAACTCAGGCACAGAGCTCACCATATAAATATTCTTTTCCTTGTAGCTTTTCACAAATTCACTGAATAAAATATCCTTGTCTGGTGTGGTTCGTTCTTCTTTCTTTCTCTGCTCCGCCTGAATTGTTGCCTCGCTCGACTCGGGACGGGACAAGAAGTATTCGTCGGTCCACTTTTGGAAAGCTGGTGAAATTTTGGCTGCATTTTGAATCAGAACTGGTTTGCTTGGGACCACGTACGTTTTAAAGAACGTTTTGGGGTCAGGATAACTTTGGATTACTTCTAGTGAATGTTTCACGTTCTTTGAACCAAGTGGTTCCAGATGACCGGGCACTGAAGCGCCATCTTGGGCTCTGTCAACTCCAGGTTCTTGATTTTGACTTGCTCTCGCCAGCTGTAGACATAAGAATGTTACAAAAATGCTGTAGAGTAAAGAGGCACGAAGCTTCATGACTACGCCAAAGAGTCTAAATAACAATATCATAGAAAGAGAATATTCAAAATAAGGAAGAAATCAAATTGTGTGCACTAGTAAATTTGAATGTCAAGTGGAATTTTTGATGACATGACATGATTAAAGTCACGAAAAGGTATGGAGTCAGGCAAAAAGCTAATACACAAAAAACGCGAGAAAGACGAAGGAAGATTAAGCACGAAAATGAATTCTGATTAAAATATTTTACAAGAATTCTTAAAATTTTTTACAATTCTGTAGAAGTTTGGATTAAAATGGCATACACCGATACAACCAAGATATAGGCATGATGTTGGTGTAGCATATTGGACGGCGTGTTACAAGAGAAGGACAAAAATATCCTGTATTTTGTTCACAACATTGGAATAGTAATGCCAATACGTCATGCCTCCGGTTTTGAAGAGGTTTTGAAATAAAAGGCCAATTCTAGCCGTAAGAAAAAGAAAGAGATCAACTGGAACTAAAACAGCAGCAAAACTGTCTTGCATATATTTGCAGCATGTTGCTAATCGGTGAATGTTTCCGAGACAAAATAAGTGATTTCGTGTGTTTAATAAACGAAATTGATGATATGTAAACAGTGCAATAGCTGTGTTTCAGCGGACCTGTTTTGAAATTCTGAGGATCGATTCGCTGAGCGAGTTACCCTTGGAAAACAGCCAAGCATGGCAAAAGCTGACACAGCAAGAGAAATTCTCAATGAAGTCTGAAAACTTTCTATTCATAATGTGAAGAAAAAAGCGTAAAGTGGCCTCTTTTTGCACATTCCGTCTAGCGTGATGCGCGAGGGATCACGACAGAAAAGAAACAAAAAAGGTTTGACTGTATTGTGAACACTGATTTAAGGTGTTATGACAGTGTTAAAGTAAATAGGATGGTTTATTTTTCGAAATGCTTTTACCAAAGAACTATGTCGGACAAACAAACTATCACACCCAGTACGGACCAAGGTTATTCTTTTTATGCGGATTGCTATTTTATTGTATTTGTTTGACAACTATCCCATTCAGTGTCCAGCTTTACTATTTTTTTTTATCGCTTATTGAATATTCTCATCTCATGTAGTTATTCGACAGACACGCCTTGCCAAGTCTTATGTTTTTAGCTGAATTTTAAAATATGAAAAAGTTAAACAACAAGGTTGCTTCCTCAAATCCAAAATATGACTTGATTTAAAGATACTCTGCGTCAAGATAATTGCAGTAACTATATAAGAGGCAATACCGTAAATCCTCGAATTAGCGTCTCCCCTCAAAAAAGCGCCCCCTTCGAATAAGTGCCCCTCCCATCGGCCAAAATTTAAAACAAGAGCCTCCCCTCGAATAAGCGCCCCCTCCCCTCCCCCTGGTTTATGAAAGAGTGCTGAGACAACAAAGGATGTATAGTTTTGGTCGTGTTCAATCACTACCAAGAGATTATCGACTCATTCAAGCGCTGCACATTGACCGTCGCAACGGATGGTAGTGAAGATCTGCTGATTCATTGCCTAAAGCCCAACCAGCCTTGTGCAGCAGGCCTAGAATGGCTAAAGGGGTTATACTACGTAGTTCTTCAATAGAAACAGGATCCTTCCGAGACTTCTGACTTCTGACACATGCATATATTACAAAAAAATCTGATCATATCTGACCACGATTTGGAAATATCAAATAAGCGCCTCCCCCCCGCCCCCTCCTCGATTAAGCGCCTCGAAAAAGCGCTCCGAGTCTTCTTCTAAGTTTGAATTCGAGGATTTACGGTACGGTATTTGTGTTCAAGATATAAAATACCAATATTTTCCGCACTCTTGGCGTGTCATTCATACTGTAAATCTGCCAATCAGAAACTCGAAACGATTCTTCCGAGCCCACCCATCGATGCTGCCAGTTTCGTTTAATTACATGCCAGCGCATGTGTGAATTGCACAGACAATTTAAAACGAAAACACTGGAATTGTTCGATATCAGGGCAAAAGCTCGGCTAAGAAAACATGCCCAGTTCTGGCTAGTAAGAAATGTATTAGTTACGCGTCATTCGATCAAACTATGGATAATTGTGGTTTTGTTGGTGGTGTATCGATGTGTATCTTCTTTGATTGTCGCAGCGAACCACCAGGGCTTGCAACAAGTAGATTTTAAGTCTAAAGTAAGAAACAGCTTGGATTCCGTCGATCGTTCCATCTTTTTGTTTCTCTACATACATCGCTTATTTCTTGTTGGAGCTAAAAATACCTGACGCGGAACTAAGTTAAACTTTTCCGCATTTTTCTTTAGCGTACTTCGTATTAAGCAATCGATTTATTTAAACCTTATTAGTTTTTCTCGAAGAACTATTTAAAGATATCCAGGGAGGCACCCAAACTGGAATTACTTTCTGCAAGAAATTCAAATCCCAGGGTATCGTCAAGAGAACACTGTCGCGCTTCTTGTTTCCTTACTCGAGCAACTTACAAAACAAGGCTCTGTTTACGAGTTTACGCGATTTTTGCTAGAAAAAATGTAGATTGTTCCACTTTACAGAAAGCTCGTCGAGTTATTGGCATCGTGACCCGTGATGCACCTTGATCATATCATTCTTCTTAATAACAACAACAACAACGAAAAACGCGTTTGGTTGAGCACGCGGTTACGCGCGGAATTGTGCGCGGTTTGAATGACAACTGATATGACCCTTGTAGTTTGTGCTCTAATCGTGGTTGCATATATGAATGGGTAATAAAAAATTATTGGATGAGGTTTTTGTGATATCCGGAATAATCAAGGTCGAGGTACGTGTTTTCAGCCGAAGCCGAAGGCTGAGGCTGATAACACTAACCGAGACCTTGATTATTTCGGATATCACAAAAACCGAATCTCATAATTGTTTTATTATATCTTGTTTTAAAGAAAATAACAACAAACGCATTATCGCACCGAACTGAGTTATTTTCGACAAGCCATGTTCTTTCGTGAACTTGACATTGTTCTTGGAAATCATGCATTGCGCGCGCAGCCTAGAGATTATTCACTAATCTGCTAGCAGATTAGTGAATAATCTGTAGGTTGCGCTGTTTCCCGGAATTAAACTGTAGGCTTTTAGCCAATGAGAAGACAGATGGTGACTACAATGTATAATAAAGAAAGTAAATGCTTAGGTTAGTGATCAACTAAGCTAATACGTACTGTATACAGCAGAGAACTCGTTCTCTGACTTGATTTATCTCTGCTGCTGTGTTTTTGCATGGTTAATAGAGGGGAATGGTTATGAAACCTGGCAAACATCAGCGGAGCAAGATTTATGTTGCACAACCGTGCACAATCTTTTGTTTTGCGCTCATACACTACACGTAAACTACGAAACCGAAAGGTTGCTATTGATTATTTTCTCAGTAAGAGGTAAAAACCTATTGTGTTTTTGGGCACGGTCAAGGCCAAAAAAGAGAACAAAAACATACAACAAAGAACTTTACAGGGTTTCATAATCATTCCCCACATTAACTATGGTTTTTGTTTTCGTTTTAAGCTTACTTAATTTAACTTAATTTATTTTTTGTGAAATTAGTTTTTGGGTCCCATTCAAGCATTTGAGTTAATTATCACAATAAAAAGTTGAAAACAAATTGAAACATAATCTTTCTTGGCATGTAGATTAGATTAACCAATGAAAAATTCCGGCCAACTAATGCCACTGGCCACATTCATGCAGACTTCAAATTGTTTTTATGTGATTTACGTGAATACTCTTTCAAAAGTCATACTGTGCTGTACCGTTTTTTGTAATTCAGTGAACTTGTACAGCACCGTGCCTTTCACACGATTTTACCTTGCGACCGTTGCCAAGCCCACTTCTTGAGCTTCTTTTCGAACGGAACGCGAAAGAACAAGAGAAAGAAAAAATGGTTGTAGTTCAGAATTTGATTGTGCTGGGAACAATTTAAGGGTGTCACGACAGGAACAATTTACTGTGCGACTACTTTAACTAAGGCCCCCGACAAAATTTACTACAAATTCAATGAGTAAAAATCGTGGAGGTTAACAACAGTTTTCCAACAAATTATCCGAAATGACCACAAATCTGTTGCTTTTGTAATGTACAGCTTGATTTCTTGGATAATTTCTTGGAAAACTATTGTTAACCTCGATAATTTTTATTGGTTAGATTTGTGGAAAATTGTCGGGCGGCTTTGGTTGGAGTAGTCGCACTGTAAGGTGTTCTGAATTTGTTGAATTAAACTGGTTAGCTTACTTTTTGAAATGCTTTCATCAAAGAACTATGTCCCACCAACAGACTTAATGATTCGCTACTCACCAAAGTTTAATTTGTCTATGTGGTTTGTGATTTTCTGTCTTTCTTTTACTATTCTATAAGCGCTTTTAAGTCTTCTCATGTCACGTAGTTATGTAATATGCAAATTTATCTGTTATCTGAGAGATATGTCTTTACAGTATATTGAGTCTTGTTTTTATTGCTGAATTTTATTAGGAAAACTAAAATGCCGTTTACTCAAAATCGCAAACAGGACTTTAACAGGACACATTATGCGTCGATATATATATATATATATATATATATATATATATATATATATATATATATATATATATATACGGAAAATAAGATTGTATTTGTGTTCAAGACATAAAATAACAATATTTTCATTTTGATGTGTGTTTCATGCCCGTCTCATTTTTGAACTGCCACTGAATCAAAAATGCAAAACAATTCAACTGACGACGTCTATCGACGATTTCAGTTTCAAAAAAACAGAACCATTGGAATAGCTTGATATACTTTTCCTCATTTTTCTTTAGCACATTTCGCTTTAAACAATCGACATATTCAGACCTCATTATTTTTGTTCGAATAACTATTTTAAGATAGTCGGAAGCATAATTACCCAATGGTACAACATCAGATCTGGGAAGATCGTGAAACTGGATTCTCGCGATAGCCATGAACTG